GCTGATCCTGGGCTCTGTGTGACACTTCCCCAGAGACCAGGGCAGGTTCCGGGGAAGTGCTGTGCAGAGCCCGGGGTCAGCTGGGGCGTCCTCAGCTAGTCCTGGGCTCCTAGCAGCATGCAGTGTAGCATGGAGCCTGGGGTCAGCGGGGGACTCTGAGTCTCTCACTGACCCCGGGTGCTATGGCTTTGAAATGCACAAGAGCCCCTGCGAGGGACTCTTGTGCATTTCAAAGCAGGCACCTGCGTGCTGCCCAGAATCAGTGAGACTTCCCGCTGGCCCTGGGCTGTACATGGAGTTTCGCATTCCTCCTTTGAAATGTACATTTCAAAGGAGGAACGTGGAAGTGCTTATGGGCTAGTTGATGGAAATTCTGTCGACTAGTCAATTAACTGCATTTTAACATCCTTAATAGGAAGCTATAGGCAGTGGTGTTGTAGGCATGTCAGTTCCAGGATATTAGTGAACCGAGGTGGGCGAGTTAACATTGTTTAATGGACCAACTTTGTTGATGAGGGACAAGCTTTCAAGCTACAGAGTTCTACAAGTCTGGGAAAGGTACTAAGGCTATGTCTAACTGCACTTCTGTCAGTAAAATTTGGTCACTTGGGGGTGTGAAAATCACCCACCCCCTGACTGACAAAAGTTTTATGGAGAGAAACTGCTGGTGTGAACAGCACGTTGTCAGTGGGAGATGCTATCCTGTTGATGCTGCTGCCTCTCTCATGCCAAAGAGCATCTATACTCAGAGGTGCCATTTCAAATTTTGGTTAAGAGGGGGGCAACTTTAACCATGATTTCAAAGGTTACTTAGGCACTTGAAAGCTCATTTTAGTCAATAATTTAGCAGTTAGATGACAGGAGCCCTGTATCAAATTCCTATATAAAACAACACATAAATATTAGCACCTTTCAGCTCTTGTGGCAAGTGAGTTAGGGTTAGAATTTTAACCCATATTCATACTTTGTAATGAACTCTGTGGAGAGAATGAGACCTCATCAGAACTCTTGGGCTCTATCTCAGTGTAGCATGGGAGGGAAGAGGAGTCTAATAGTTACAGCCGGGGCAGATATATCTGGATTCTATGTAAGAACATCAGAACAGCCAAACAGGGTTTAGCCCAGTATCCTGTGTTCTGACAATAATGCTATGTAAGAACATCAGAACAGCCAAACAGGGTTTAGCCCAGTATCCTGTGTTCTGACAATAATGAATCCCAGGTGCTTCAGAGGGAATGAACATACAGACAATCATTGAGTTCTTATGTTCTTATGAGCGATTCATCCTGCCACCCATTCCCACCTTCTGGCAAACAGAGGTGAGGGACGTGCAGAACATGGTGTTGGATTCTTGCCCATAATGGCTAATAGCCATTGACGGACCTCTTCTCTATGAACTTATCTAGTTCTTTTTAGAACCCTGTTATAGTGCTGGCCTTCACTGGCAAGGAGTTCTACAGATTGTGAAGAAATTTTTGTTTGTTTGTTTTAAATCTACTGCCTACTAATTTCACTGACTCTTAATTCTTGTGTTATTTAAAGGAGTGAATAATATTTCCTTACTGAGTTTTTCAATTATGATTTTATAGACCTTGTTTAGATTTCCCCCTTAATCATCTCTTTGCAAACTGAAAAGTCCCAGTCTTTTTAACCTCTCCTCATATGGAATGTGTTTGGTATTCCTACTAATTTCTGTTGCCATTTTCTGTACCTTTTACAAATCAAATATATCTTTTTGAAATGGGGTGACCAAATTTGCACACAGTCTTCAGTATGTGGGTGTACTATGCATTTATATAGAGGCAATATGATCTTTTCTGCCTTATTAACTGTTCCTTTCCCAAAGAGTTCCAATAGTCTGTTAGTCTTTTTGATACCCAGTAGACATAGAGCAGACATTTTCAGACAACTATCCACAATAAAGATCTCATTATTGATGGGTTCAGCTAATTTAGACCCCATCATTTTATATATATTTTGGAATTATATTTTGCCATGTGCATTGCTTTGCATTTGTCAGCATTGAATTGCATCTGTCCTTGTGTTGCCCAATCATCCAGTTTTGTGAAACCCCTTTGTAACTATGCAATTTGTTTTGGACTCATCTATCTTGAATAAACTTTGTATCATCTGCAAATTTTGCTGTCTTGGTTTATCTTTTCCCCCAAGATTATTTATGAATGCGTTGAATAGCACTAGGTCCCAGTACAAACCCTTAGGGGCACCACTATTTACTTCTCTCCATTCTCACCATTTATTCCTGCCCTTCGTTTCCTATTTTTGACTGGAATGCTTGAGAAATGCTTTCAGGTTTATCTAATGATCTTTAGTTTATTTTAATGACATATGCCTTTTGTTATCTTAATCATCATGCCTCTGAATATAAACAACCTCTCTGCAGGAAAAGCTGTGCTGCACCCAGCATCAAAATTCATCACACTAGGCTGTACTGCAGTTAAGAGCTTGATCGTTTCCTATTTTTGACTGGAATGCTTGAGAAATGCTTTCAGGTTTATCTAATGATCTTTAGTTTATTTTAATGACATATGCCTTTTGTTATCTTAATCATCATGCCTCTGAATATAAACAACCTCTCTGCAGGAAAAGCTGTGCTGCACCCAGCATCAAAATTCATCACACTAGGCTGTACTGCAGTTAAGAGCTTGACGCATTTGGGGGGGGGGGGGGGGGGGAACCTCCCACACTCCTCCAAATGGCATCCCCTGGCTACACTGAATGTCTTACAACAGCAAGTCTTGAGCACCACAACTGTGTTGCTGGAAGCTGTGTAGCACAGACACAGTTGATCTTCACACAGAGTTCACAGGAAGATGGAACACAGTCAGCATATATTGCAAGGGACCATTCAAAGTGAAGTGACTTGTTAACATTCCTGTAGTCACAGGACAAATGGGTGGTTAGTGGGGCTTTATCTACACTGCAGCAGTTATAGTGGCGCAGTGGCAGAGATGCAACTATGCTGGTCTAGCACTTCTGGTATAGACACTCTTAATACCAAGAGGAGGGCTGTTCTGCCAGCTTATGTCTCTGGGGGAGCTCTCCTGCAGAAACAGGGCTAGCCACACTGGTTCTTAGGTTAATTATTCCAAACTCCAAGCAACATAAATTACCCCAAAGTAATTCGTAGTGCAGACATAGCCTGGGTCACGGAGATGGCTGTTATCAGCCTCAAATCCAGTGTCTTTATTTAAGGCCAGGATTGTCAGCATCTAGGAAGGTTATGAATTTCAACTCCCTGGCTTGTCTTTTGAATTACCTCACTGAGCATAGTAGCTGCCACTGTAACAGTGGGTGTGGGTGAAACCTGACAATCACTGCACTCCTCAGTGAACTCACCCAGGGAAATGATAAAGGACAAAAACACCCTGTCACCTGTGGCTGAACATTTCTCACAAAAGGCCGGCTCTGTATCTGACCTATCAGCTGTCACCTGCAAAGAAAATTGACACAACACTTTCAACAGAGAATCCTAGGGGCTGAAATTCATAACGTTGCTAGACACTAAAAACCCTGGGCTGAGCAGACACACTGGATTTGTTGCTTATTACAACCATCTGTAACTTGGTTTAGGGCTGCAGGGATGTTAGTGGGCCCCTTCCCCCGGAGCAGTCACTTAAATATGTGCTAATTACTGATGCTAAACTATCTAGTCAGTCTTGCATTTAGCTGTCACTTTAGAGTCTATGCTCTAAAAATGCTCCAACTGTGCTACTGCAGCACTTTCATGAAAATGCTGCTACGCCAACAGGAGAAGCATGGGTAAGGCGGGAGCTATAATCAGTGGGAGAAGCTCTCCTGCCAACATAGTGCAGTTTACAAGGGTCCATTTGGCATAGCTGTATCTCAAGCGTGTGGATTCCCCCATGTGATGTAGTTATACCAGTATAGGTCTGTAGAGCTGACTTGGCTTTCCTACCTTTCCCAGACTTAAGGAAGAGCTCTGTGTAGCTCAGAAGTTTCTCTCTCTCACCAAGAGAAGCTGAGCCAGTAAAAGATATATTACCTCATCCCCATATGAAGCTGTAATTCAACAGCCAAATGATTTGCATCTAATAAGAAACATAGAAGATTTGGCTTACTGGTCTGACACATTCTCTAATATGTGTAAGTGCAACATTAACCATTCATCCCTCTCTCTATTTACTGTCTCCATGCACTTCCCTGACCTATGGTATCTGTAGTGTGTGCATTTAGTTTCTTACAGTTGTGATAAGGCAAACATACCTTTCTAAACCATCAGGGTTTTAAATACTAATCAAAGCCAGTATTTCATATTACAGCCATGTGACATTAAATTGGGAGAATTTAATGCTTTGTACTGCTTTAGCATCTTTCACCCAGGATTTCAAAGAGCACCTCAAATGTTGAAACCTAGAGCTGCAAAAGGGTCTGGGTGACACAATTTTATGCATCTACAGCTGTGCCCAGCTAGAAGCCTATCTAATTGATTGCACCCACAATACACAGAGGCAGACCTCTCTTACAGAGCACAATACCAGGAACTGAGCTGACGTCTAACTAAAAATCAAGGCCTAATTGTGTAAGCCTCACAACACCGCAGTGAGGTAGGTAGGTAGGTGAGTGTTACTACCCCCATTTGACAGATGAGGGCACTCAGGCACAGAGGGGTGAAGTGACTAGTCCAAGGTCTCACAGTCAGAGTCTAGAGCAAAAGCCCAGGGCTTTCATTTTGTTCCTTGCTCTAAGAGTCCCACAGCATATGGGGCCTGTGAAGCTTTGCTTTGAACTAGCTGTGCAGTGTAGCTGAGTTAATGTTGATGTGTATGTCCTGATTCAGTGCACATCAATTCTGTCTTTGTTCTTTTAGCTCTGTGGGTTGTATTTAACGGCCTTCCTTAAAAAAAAGCGTCCCCAGCCTGGTTTCCAACTGCCTTAGCTCTGTCACTATGTGGTGGCTGTTGCCCAGCCCTGCCTCCCTTCCAG